GACAGGCTCTGGCGGAGGCTCAGGAGAGGCGGTGGGGGGGGAACTGTCAGGTGAGGCAGGTGAGCTGGATGTGCTCCCAGGGGGCACCTGCAGCAGGAGCGTCACGGTGGTCACATCCCGATTGGTGACTTCAGGGGGTGGCTCTGGGACCTCTGCCCGCTGCTCCCGTTCCTCTGGCTCTGGCGCCTGCGGAGGACCCACAGGATGCAGCCAAGGCTCCCCGGCTGGCAGGTGCTCAGGGCAGGGCATGCAAAGCAGGGGAGCCGGGCATGGCTTCCTGCAGACCCACTGGCACCGGCGTGGGCACTGGCACGCTGCGGGCAGCCCTCACCCTCCTTCCCAACATCTTGGTGTTGCCTAGTCACGGGCAGTTCAGAGAACCCACATCCAAATGCCAGGGGGTGGGGACGGCAGGAGACCTTCTGGGGACTCCCAGACTCAATCGATCCCTGGAGTGGAGGTCCCTAAACACTGGCCTCCGCCTGGTTAGTCATAGGAGAGGGTGGGTGTCCTGCCAGGGACCCAGCCGCCTCTGCTGGCCACTTAGGGGACCTTCATGACCTGACCTCTCCCCCACATGCCCTGGAGAACAGAGTCCACTCTGTGAACAGTGCTCCAGGAGTCAGCTCGGCCCGCGATGCCGGCCCTATAGGCCAAGGTAAGGATGTGGGCTGTCTGGAGGGGGAGGTTTTAGCCGGGGAGGTACCAGGGTCAGATTGCATTTCGGGGGGATCCCCTGTGTGCTGACTGGAGACCGAATGGCTGGCATGAGGGTGGAAGGCCAGCAGGGACGTCAACGAGGGTGGTAATGGGAGACGGACAAGAACCTGGGAGCAGTGTAGGCAGGCTGGCTTTGGGGGGAAGGCCTGGGTATAGACAACTGGGAAGTGGGGGGGGGGCACATATGGCCAGAGGGTGCCTCGGAGAGTGGGCAGAGCCTTGAGATAGACTCCTAGTGTCCCCCAAACACTGCTGGGGGCCCTTTTCAGTCAAGTACCAGTTTAGCAAAGACGCAGGTGCTCTGAGCTATTGGCACCTGTGGGCACAGGGCCCTGGGCCCTCCTCGCACCTTGGCCACCTCTTACCTCACACCGCTCCAGCCTCTGTGCGGCCTGCCCCTTGCTGTCCTCTCTTGAGCCACTGTGGGAACGCCCACCGCACAACCTCCCAGCCAAGGTGGCCGCTAAGGGAGAGAGAGAAACTCTCAGGTGAGTGGCTGGGTGGTGCTACGGGCAGCAGGGGCGAGGGGTG